GCATTTCAAGAAAGATGTGGAGAGATTGGAGAGGGTCCAGAGAAGAGCAACAAGAATGATTAAAGGTCTAGAGAACATGACCTATGAAGGAAGGCTAAAAGAACTGGGTTTGTTTAGTTTAGAAAAGAGAAGACTGAGGGGGGACATGATAGCTGTTTTCAGGTATCTAAAAGGGTGTCATAAGGAGGAGGGAGAAAACTTGTTCATCTTGGCCTCTGAGGCTAGAACAAGAAGCAATGGGCTTAAACTGCAGTAAGGGAGGTTTAGGTTGGACATTAGGAAAAAGTTCCTGTCAGGGTGGTCAAACACTGGAATAAATTGCCTAGGGAGGTTGTGGAATCCCCATCTCTGGAGGTATTTAAGAGTAGGTTAGATAAATGTCTATCAGGGATGGTCTAGACAGTATTTGGTCCTGCCAGGGGGACAGGGGACTGGACTCGATGACCTCTTGAGGTCCCTTCCAGTCCTAGGATTCTGTGATTCTCACCAGCAGACACTGCCTCTCCCAGCTCCCATTGGCCAGGAGCTGGCCAACAGGAGTGGGGAACTGGTGCTCAGGGTAGGGGCAGCACGTAGATCCCCGGAGCTGTCCCCGTCCCCCCCCACACACCTAGGAGCTGAACCTGTTGCTAACCACTTCTAGAGCACAGCATGGTCACCCTACAGCAAAGTGACCCAGTGCCTGATTTTCTGGGACTCAGTACTGGGTCATGACCCACTGGCTTACAGGGAGCAAAGCACTATGCAGAAATGGCTTCTTGATAGGGCTCACTGCCTGGCCTTTTTCTGGCCTATCAAGATGGCCTGTAATGATGGAGGCTTATGGAAATTAAGTCCCATTCCTACAAGGGAGCCTGGGTTAAGACAGACTCAAAACAACATCTGAAGTTGTTTCCCTATGCCGGTGAGCCTAAGTACAAATACTGCTGTGCTGTAGAAAGCTGTAATGTATACAAATCTTGTATAATTGCATTTTAAATGGGGAAAAAAAATGAGTGTAGGTTTTTATCCCCATTCTAGATATTGATGAGTGTGCAAGAGGGACCCATAATTGTAATCGGGATGCCAGCTGTTTGAATACTGTCGGCTCCTATTTCTGCGTGTGTCAGAGTGGGTTTATTGGCGATGGCATTCACTGTAAAGGTAAAGAGACGAGACTACCTGTTAGTTCCTTACACCTGTTTGGGAAGAGGTGAAGACTACATGGGTGTCTCATGCTGATGTCTTCATCTTTGTCCTCCCACTGGCAGCAAAAAGCACATGGTCCCCATGGTCTCCGTGGTCTGTCTGTACTGTCACTTGTGGATTCCAGAACCAGATGCGGATCCGCTTGTGCACCCATCCGGAGAGTGGGATGCGTTGTGAGGGACCTTCTACTGATCTCAGGCGTTGTCCCAATCTAGAACCATGCCCAAGTGAGTGTGAACTCATTCATTTTTCCACAGCTACACGCATACCGATTGCTGTGCAATTTCTATTCCCTGTGCAAAGCTTGTCAGCTAAACGGTGCCATTTGGCAGGGGAAACAGAATTTGGGATGTCCTGCTCCAAAACAGACTGAATAGCAATCACCGTTGTTCTCAGCAGCTCTGCTTCTTTTTAGTTCTCTATCCCTTTAGAGCACGAATCACCATAAAATAAGGATCAGTTGTGTTGGTGTAACAGGGTGGCTGACCACAGCATTATGTATAGGAAAGGTTAGATCAGTGTTATGTTATTGCTTTTGAATTTCCACTTAAGCCAAGTCCAGGAAGAAGGAGCTTGGATATAAACTCAGAGACTGCTTGCTGTGCTGAGGACAGGGTAGGGACTCAGTGTATTCGAGGCTGGTTTGCTGATAAAAGTCTGAATAAATATGGGTCTGCCATTTTGCTCAGAGCTGTGAGAATGTTTCTGTTTCATTTCTCTAGTGAATGGCCAGTGGTCAGAATGGTCACCCTGGTCAGTTTGTTCTGAGACCTGTTCAGGAATCAAGAAAAGAATCCGGATTTGCAATAGCCCTGCTCCTTCCAGAGGAGGGTTGCCCTGTGCCGGGTTAAAGGAGGAAGTCACTATGTGCAGCAACAAAAAATGCCCAGGTACAGTAATTCTTTTCAATGTTGTAACATTTCACCAAATTATCAGATGCAAGTGAGACTAAGAAGGAGGTTCTGTATATGCTTCAGTACCAAACTGGAGTGTCTCTGGAGCTCTGCTTCCCAACACAACTCTACTCCCATTTCACCCTACAATTCCTCCCATTCCTAACTGCTCCCTTTGCTTCCTTCTCCCATCAGTAAGTGTACATTGTGACAGGGTGCGGTCACAGACGACCCTTCGGGGATGCTTCCTGGGGTGCTGACATGGCCACTGCCACTCGCCTTCCCGCTCTCTGGGGCTCCTCACCGCCCGGTCCTACTGGGCCAGCTCTGAGAAGCAGCACAGACGCTGAACCACTTCAGGTCCAAGGAGAGTGCAGTTTAGGGCCCAGCCTCCTCAGAGAGCAATCCTCAGATGGGTTCAAACCCCAAAGAATTAAGTAAGCCCCCTTTAACAATTAAAGGAAGAATGTGCACATTGGTTGCCCCCCCCCAGGTAACAATTACTTACACTCAGGGCCGGCCTGGGCTATTTTGGCACCATGGGCCTCAGCTGTGCAGCGCCGCCCCCGGGGCGCATGGCCCCGCCTCCAGGTGCATGGTGCATGCGCAGGCCCACCCCCGGGATGTGTGGCCCCACCTCCGGGTGCCCCCGCCCCGGGCGGCCCACTGCAGCCTGCCGGGAGCTGGGCGCCCCCCGTAGGTTGGTGCCCTGGGCAGCTGCCCGGCTAGCCCACCCCTTAGTCCAGCCCTGCTTACACTGCGTTTGATAGAAAATAGAAATGATTTTATTCAGTGGAAGCAGTAGGATTTAAGTAGTAATAAGTGGGGACCCCCCCCCCCACCGCGAGCGGGGGCTCAGACTGAAGGACAAAAGAGACTGTTTAACAGTTGAGGGTAACACCCTCCATGTCCCTCATTCACACAAGTCTCTGCAGTTCCTTGCATGTGAACTGCTGGTCCCTATTTTTGTTCAAATTGGACTAAGTTTTTCAGGGCATGGCTACTAAATTTTTCATGTTTTGTAAACTGTGGTGTACCGTCCAAGTACTTTATGAATAATAACTATGCTGCCAGATGAAAAAGTGGCCAAAGACTTGGTTTGCATGAACAGACCAGATTTGCCACAACCCATCTGAAATTATCTTTCCTGAACATCAATGCTTGAAATATGGTAAAAATTAAAAAGAAATTAAGTAGATAAGCACTGGTCATGATGCTTGTCTTTTCTTTGTCTCAGTTGATGGGATGTGGTCTCCATGGGCATCCTGGACTCCTTGCCCCATCTCTTGTGGCTTAGGTGTGGTGAGCCGATCTCGACGATGCAATAATCCTGCCCCGGAGCATGGGGGAAAAAATTGCACTGGACATGGATATGAAGAAGGTTCTTGTGGTTTTCCAGTAAGTCATGGATAACTCTATGAACATGGATTTTAGAATATTCCTATCTAATGGTAGAACTTTAGGTAGGTTAGATGCTTAATAAAATGGACAAAATGGGTTTGAATTGGAAGAATGGATGAGTACCTCCAATAATCAATAAGAATGATGGGAGAAGGTTCCCGTCCCTCCAAAAAAGGTTAAAGTTGTTGTGACTGTATCCTAGCAGCTCACTATCAACCTGATCCCAGGATACACTTCTGTTGAAGACAAAAGGAATTGCTACTGTTCTGGATCGCTCAGAAATAGGCCTTTTATAAGGTTTTTTGAACTGTCAAGTCTTAATGTACACAAGATCATGAAATGTCTAGAATTCTGCTTTATAATATTTCAGAAAAGATATATGTATAGAGGGAGGTTTGTATTCAACTTTACGTTTAAAAAAATGACAAAGCTTATTTCTACTAATATTTACTTTAAATTTAGTTAACCTAGATTACAGTGTGAGCATTTATCTGAACTATGTTTGTTTTGCTTCTGGAAATTCCACTTATGTCAATTAACATTTCAGATGTAGAAATTTCAAGTGTCCAAATGCACATATTAAAGGAGAATCTGATCCAATGACATTTTTCTTCTAAATGTGTCTTTCACAACATGCTAAGAATACTACATTACAAATTCAATTCTCACCACAATTCTCTTATCTATTTTATTTGCAGGAGAACTTTTGCAAATACTTGAAGCGACCATCTGAATCCATTATACCGGGGAAACTGATCCAGTAATCAATCTAAGGAAGTTAGTATGCTGAAAATCTATTGACATTCACGGGCCTTTAACTTATTTAAATGTCTTTGAAAAGCACAGCTGTACTGAAAAGTTCAACAAGAAATCTGCATCAATAGAAAACTTACAGTCATGGTACTTCTTGGAAAACACTAGTGTTCTGTGCAGTGTAGTGAATGCTATCACCTTTGTTGTTCAACACTTTAGTAGAGACGAATAAAGCAAGGCATAACATGAATACTTAAATTACCTTTTTTTGCTGTGAGGTAGAAGAGGACTTGTATTGTGCCTTTGAGTAAGAAAGTGATCCTCAGTAAGTAAAAACCATGACACCAAAGATGGGGGAAGGATGCCAGAGTCCAAGACAGACACAGAAACTAGAAGCATCCTTTGGAGGAGGGGGACATAAAGCATTGTACTGTGTGAAGAATTTACACATATCCTCAAGTTCCCCTGTCACTAACTCTGTGTTTATGGCATTGCTTCATGAGCGGGATAGTTTTGCTTTGCCTGAAGCTGGGAATGATGACTGGGGATGGATCACTTGATGATTACCTGTTCATTCTCAGTCTAAAGCACCTGGTACGGGTCACTGTCAAAAAACAGGGTACTGGCCTAGTAGGTCTGACCTAATATAGCCATTCTTCCATTTTTTTAATTTTTGGTGGGTGATACATCTGGCAATATGCTTGTCCTATTCCTTGCATCAGACACTTCTTCCTTCCCTCAGTCCCTCTTGGGGCATGTATCAGGAGCTGCGGTCCTTCCATGTTCTCGGCACACATTTCTGGTTTTGTATAACTTCTGTATAGATTTAATGAAACCGGTACAGTTAAACTGACACCATCCTCTAGCGTGAATTCAGTGAGACTGGTACCACAGGTATGTGCTGCAACCCGCGCTGACAAGCACCTTTATTCCAGCATGCGGGCGGTCACAGTAGGGGGCTGCACGACTATGGGTATAACGCTGCCACCCACCAACGCTCTCTCGCAGAGCTAGTTGGTACAAAACCTGGCAGTAAATCAGCCCCTGGTTACCAATGGCAGGGAAAAGCATGAGCTGGTGTGGAAGGAGGTGGGGGGGCCACCCGGAGCTGCGCCTGGCGGAAATCTCAGGGGAGAGGCAATAGCCGAGGGAGGTCGGGGGGATGGTGCCAAGGGGGGACCCAGAGGAAATTG